AATAATCTAGAATTGGTTAATCGCATAAATTTAGGCTATTTGTAAAGGCATTCATCTGTTAAGGAGATTTTTTTCCATTTCATTAAGTTTTAAATAATTGTTTAAACGAACTGATAATAACTATGGTGTACATTTAAAAAATGGTTACAAAACTGACAGTGCATAGATTCACTCAATTTAAACAGACAAGGATATCAAGAAGAAATTTTATATCTTGCTATACGCATACATTTTTGTCTCTGATTAGTTAGTAAACTAGTTGGATGGAGGAATTAGAATCACTATTTCTTTTGCATTCTGTTAATTCGAACAATAAAGTGGGTGCTTGAACGATATGCTGAAACCATTAGTTTGAATCCTGTTGTTTTAAAGCTTAGTTTTAATCGCAGTTACTCATCCAGATAGGTTTGACTTATGACACTGAAAACAAATGCATATTCAGCATTGAAAGGAATAAGTAAACCACTAAACTCTCATATTGATTTTACAGTCAGTATATAAGGATATTAGACGTTTGGGGAAACCTTGCTGCCAATAATTACACCAGTACCAGTCCTAAGGAAGTTAGGTTGTTGCTCATATAGCTCAATGTTAACATTTTCAAATGCAGTACTAGGTGAGGTGGGTTCTGTTTCCTGAAATGATGTCTTTTCTTTTGAACTTTTAGGTAAATTATGCTGACAGTTTCTAACATGCACAAAACTAGATATATGGCTTCCTATAGATTCTCTTCAACAATTCAATATAAATTTAATTAAGTCTCCTGGTTTGACTACAGTACTGCAAAGTAGACTTATAGAATGTGGTCAGCAGTAATATGGTGGTGTGATACAGACAATGGGTTCCAAAGGAATATTATTCTCACAGTAAGAATCATCGTATCTGTTGGTGTTAACGTTCAATAGTGCATTAGCGACAGAATACTGTATATATTTGAACATTCTATTTCATGTCATTTGATGTAAATCAAAATCACACTCTCAGTGATTGGTGAAAGAATATAGACTGTATAGATATAGCAGCTTGATCAATTGAGAATATACCTTGACTTCCGTGTCTTGCCTTCTGTTATTATAGTAAGAACCAAAACAGCGTAAAACGTCTCACTCCCTAAGAACCAATCATTAAATCTAAAAGAATTTTTTTCGATGAGTAAACCAATTTAGAAAATCAAGTGATCCTTTTTCCGACTTTGAAGAATATGACTGGAATCCAGAGATTTCTTTACAGTGCCAGTGATACACTGAGCTTTGAATTGGTCATCTTAATAGCTTTAATATTCATCACAATTAAATTAACCAGCTCAGAGAACACAACTAAATCAAAATCACTATCTAGAAAGCTGATAGAAAATGGTTCTACTTATATATCTTGTACTTAGTATCAAATTTTAGAGAAAAAGAAAGGCGAATTATTTTGGATACAAAATGACGAGCTGATTGTAATTTACAGCCCTTTTACCAACTGCCAAATGACTTCAATAACTAGATAGTATGCAGAAAAGCTCATCAAATTAAATAATTTGTTACATTTCTATAATGGATAAAGAGAAAAGTATTTGGTGATATAAATGATTCATATTTCCTGAATCTTTTAGCTACAACTCATTTTACTTAAAGGGGATTTCTAATAAACACACTACAATTCATTATGTTCACTGTCTATATTAGTAAAAAATTCATGATAGATTCAACGTCTTTACGAGTTGATCACGGGCTGATATCAGTTAGAGAACCATTGGAAACCAAGGAGTACTGGACAGCTGTTTCATCCTAGTTTGGGAATCATTGGCTGAATGGTATACGAGCTTGCCTTGTAACCGGAAGGTCCTGGGTTCGAACCCTGGCGGTGGGTGCGTACTGCCGATGATCCCAAAACTAGGATGAAACAGCTGTCCAGTACTCTCTGGTTTCCAATGGTTCTCTAACTGATATCAGTCTTTGACCAACTCGTAAAAACATAACAAACCCTTACAAACCAATCTATAGAAGATTTAACGTCACTAGGGTATTTTAGGATTCAAGTGAAGATAATCACACTTTTCAGTCGTACCTGGCACTCTGATCAAACTACATTTTAAAAAATTGTGAAAACAGTTACCGATTTATAAACCAATAAAGAACATCTCGGATGAAGAAAAAGGTGAACTACCCAGCCAGCGAAATGATCAATATTAATGTAATGGTAGAAGACGAGAGACTTGGTATAAGAATGTTTATTTGCGATTTGTTATCTCTATGTAGTGAAAATATGTACACCTTATCTTCAAATCACCATTTGCACAGATCTTCCGTGTTGTCCTACTTCTGTCCTTCCTATTGTGTTTCTTTGTGTTCCTTTCCACGTCTCCCATGTATCTCTACAACACTGTATCATTTGCATTCTATGACATGAAATCTATCTCCCTGCTGTTTGATATTTTTATGCCGATAAATGTCTCTTTATATACTACTGATAAATCTTATCAGTAGCACACGCCACAATAGGAATTGAATTCTTAATCAGAAGGTAGTTTTAAACTAGTGACAAATGTCAGTGTAGATAATCTTAATCATTCTGACCACTATGTTTCATTTACTTACAGATAAACTTAATAGAGCTTTATGGCATTTTGTGTGTGCTGTATAAAGTACCGTTTATCATACAGCAAGAGTTTGCTCCTATGACTTTATTACTTTCAGAACTTTTGTTTTGAATATATATATATATATTAGAAAGAAATTACAGTGGACGCAAAAGTAATGTCTGTAAATGGCCTACTTTATGACTGCTTTCTGTCGTTTTTAAAGCAAATACATTTTATGTGTCATCTCACAACCTACTGGTGTTTTAGAAACAGTCTGACGACTGTTAATGATTCAGATAGAAAATGGTATTTATGTTTACTTGAAATAGGCGTCAAATGACTACAATTTGCGAATGATAATCTTATTTGAATTTTTAAATGAATACAAACTTACCGAGGCCTACAATTTCATCTAAATTCGATTTCTTAGGATGATAATCTACAGTATTCACGGACTGCATTCTCCTACTCTCATGGACTTCTCTCTTTTTATTTTTATAATGTGGAGCATTCAGTGTTTGTGAATATCTGTGTGCATAAGCATCTTCTGGATTTACAGGTAGAGGATGAAAATGTCTTGCATTGTTATCATCAGTTCTGTTTGGATTTGAATTTGAACCTGATGAATCATTTGTATGCTGCATTTCTAGAAGTCTTCTACGATAATACATCTTTTCTTTATTTGTTAAACGTTCTTTTTATCCTTTTTTATATCTTGAAGGTGAGTATATGGATATTGATGCAAAAATGATTGTTCTTTGGACTGTGAATAACGTGGCCACGGTGAATAACAAGTCACTCAAAGAATAAGAAAAGCCCTAAAGGCGACCAGTCTTAATCAACGAAATCAGAAAAAACGGTTTTCTTTTTCGTGAAGATCACCTCATTTCGAAGTTAATGCTGAAGATTTTGTAGGATTGCCAATGAAAGCCTCACAGTTAAACTACTCAGCTCAGTGAACACAATAACACAAAAAAACCATAACTCACCTATAAGTGTGTTGCCTTTAAAATGAACCTGAGCTTACGATTCATCAATATGAAACACAGTTTTATATATTATTCAAGTTGTAACCGTAAACGTCATAAGAAATATTATTTAAAATAGTAGTAGTAAGTGAAAGCAGTTATGTTCAATTTTCTATTCTTCATCTTATTGCTTACATCAAAAATAAAGATTATGTACCCTTCAACACTTCAAAGAATTCTCATAATTAGACAACTGTTAATGAGTACTTCCTTATCACAGGGAAAATTAACAGACTTTCCGATCAAAACTAGTCGTTTGTAGTGAAAGTAAAGTGTGATGAAAAAAGGTTAAGCTAATTAAAGCTAAAATAGCTTTATACTAGTAAAGAGTTTACTCCACCAGTAAATATATCCAATCTTCCTTTAACACTATTATTTCTTTTAGGTGAGATGTTCTATTTGTGTATACTTTGAGTTAAACACCAATTTCTATTTTCCATTTTGTTTTTGTTGATTGCACTTATAAGTTGTTTGTAATAGAACAAAAGTGAACAAAAAAGAGGCGAGAAATTGGCAGAATAATGATGATAACACCGTCAACAATCATATAACATCAATCTAAACAAGAGGTAGTTAACTTTGATTATCTGGAGATTTTCATTTTTGTCCTTTGATGAAATAGGTCAGTGAAGTGTTTTTCATAATGAAGTAATTATTATGTTTATAATAATGATGATAAAAATACTATACAGAAACAAGTGAGTAATTCAAGTTGAGTGTCTTTGAAAGTGGCCTTCATTTTCTTTGATTCTAGATCTTCTAAGGTCACATCAAATTAGAAAATAAAAGCAATGAGAGTGGTATAGAATGAGGAAGAGAGAAAACGAGAAAATTAACTATCAACATCCAGCTTAAAAAGTAGATAAACATTTTATGGGTTAATTGGTATATTTTGAAAGTGATAAATTCTTCTGAATAATAAAGTGAAATGTTTGACTAGATTTCTAGTTTGAAAGTAGCACGCAACATTAACTCCTTACCGTATCCTTGATTATTATCTTCGTGACGTCAAAAATCAAATAAGGGAAGAGCTATTAAAACAGTCTTGGTTTGCCTTACTTTATTATTAAAAAATCGTAGAGTTTTATGCTTGCTTTGATGCCAATATGAGCAGTTATTTAGGCTAATTGCTTGGTTACAGGATTTCGTTATGAGCTACCATAGGTTAGAGAACCATTGGAAAACCTGCAGGGAGTACTGGGTAGTTGTTTCGTCCTAGTTTGAGACTCCTCATCACTACTGACCCACTCACCGGGGCTCGAACCCAGGACCTTCTGGTTACAAGGCAAGCTTGTAGACCATTAAGCCACTGGGACCCGATCCAAGGGTCCTTGAATTCCAACTTTTCCCAATTCAGAATATAGCACGACCACTGGCCAATCCCTTCGGCAAGTATTTGTTCTCACACTCGACCTGCTGTACCCTACGAACCAATACTTGAATAAGCTGGTTGTGTTACACAAGAAGCAGTACTGAAATATAGCATGATAACACCATACAGACAAATCTTAAATGGAATTATATTCGAACATATTATACAAACTATATGTTGAATTAACACTGTTATCTGTGTTTTATATTATGAAACATCAATAAGCGGTTTTGTTAAATTAAATCTAAATTAATAAAAACTGAAGGCAGTCCTTATATGTGGAGAACACAAAAAATCAAATAAAATCAGATCAAACAGGCCTCAGTTTATCACAAATTCTGTCATTATTTGAAAGCAAACTGGATTTTGGCCTACATGGAAAGAAATTTTATCAGGTTTATTGGGGAATAAAATTTATTAGTAATTTTTTAATTTTGATTATTGCTTGATTCCACACCGTATTTTTGGTACAGGTATGGAATTTTTAGCATATGATATCGGTAGCCCAAATGTAGCAGGCCGACTATTGATACCAGGTGTGCGTCGGCAGGGGATGGATCTCCGGACATGTGCATGGTCGGTGAGAGTCCTAACCACTGTGTCACAGACGCACAATATTGTTGATCACTGTTTTCAGTGTGATGAATCTTTTCATTATTTCTAAACTAGTTAGGAGCAGTGATATATGTAATCCTCTTTAAGGATATTTTGAGAATTAGCAACTGCTTTCGAAACTGATCTGATGAACCATAATTCTACCAACTCACCTAACATAAACATCAGTGAACAAATGAGGAAAGTGTTACCAACATTAAAACTGTTCTGTAAGAAGACCCTAGTAGCCACCTTAAATCGAGAAATGTCAGAGGTTTTAGACGTTCAGACTAAGACCTGTGACTTTTTCTTATCTGTCGACCTTTGCGAAGGATGAGGAAATTCATCATCATAAATATCGTCTTTCATTTTGTAGCACTCAACTCAGTGACTTTATCGTAAGCCTCATCAGCAGACTTTAACAGATACTAAAGAGCTAAAACTGCAACAGTTCGTATAAAAATGAAGGAAGATTGATAGTTCTATTATGAAAGCACTAGTACATTAAAAAAGTTTGGTAGTGAGAAACATGTACTGCACAACAGAACAAGAATCAAGAATATAAAAGAAATGATTTAGATATTAGGAATACTAATATGTTAGGCAGCCATAAACAGAACTTCACAGCTGTCAGTATTCATGGGTAAGAGGAGCTGAAACCTTGAATAAACTTATGTTGGCACATGGATTCGAATCTGGGTCACTTTGTTTTGAAGTAGAATGCTTTGTCTTCGATACTTTCTGCATAGTTTATTTATGACGTCTCGATACTGGCTTAAAAAGGATATTATTTGTACAACTGTCTGTTAGTTAATTATACAATGTAAATTTACTGCAGATAGCACATATTTAATCTTTTGGAATTAGTGAAAATCACCAATATCACTAACTAGCTTTCCAAAATCTATCAAATGTTACCAAATCCTCTGCCGACATCTACTTGGTTTACTTAGTTTTCAGGAAACAACAGTAATGACTGTAAGAGAAATTTTAATCATTAAAACAGGTTAAATATTTATGCTTCCTTAAAATTTCAAAGGCTAAAAATACCACAGACGAATAAATAGCTAATCGTGCAAACCCTAGATGTAACTGACTGATTCAGCAATTATCTAGACATCATCAATAGGCGTATTTTCATGTATCCTACACTTATTATTGGTTTGTTTTTTCTGCACTGGATTGTACATCTGATTACTCTCAGTCTATTTATGAACTGCTAATTGATTTGGATACCGACCTTCAAAAGTCTCACACTTTTTCAATGCCATTTATGCAACATTTCTCCATATCCAATGATCTGAGATAATCTATATATTGACAAATTAGGCGTCGACTGATGCTCACTTACATTGAAGACCAAATGGGCGACTGCTTTTTTCATTGTCGGTTTCTTTCCGAGCTACTGAAGTTAACATTTGAGATTTTACCAGGACTGTTTATTTTTTCTGACTCACGTTTTAGCCTGCTGGATAGAGAGTAAAGGTATTTGTACGTTTATAAGATACAAAGGTTTCAGAAAGCTTTAAAATTTCAGTGGTGATCTCCAATTGACTTTCTATTTATGGTAATATAATCCTTCTTTTAGTTTCCACAAACTACTCTGTAATTAACAATGAATATTTTAAACATACCTTGACAAAATTAATTGAATTTCTGTGCTTTCTTGGATGAGAATTTTGTGATCAAGTTACTCATTTAAAGAAACCCAACTCAGACAAAATCGTCTTATTGAACTGAATATCCTTCTCCTGATCTCAAAGGTTAAAAGTCTGTAAAGGATCTAATCAAAGGAAAACTTAGAATCAACTTTTACGGTTGTTTGCATTCTTCGTCAGCATTAAGCTGTTCTAATCTCAGCTGAATGCCTAAAAGACTGAATTACTTATGCCTTGTGATATTTTTAACAAAATATTATTAAGAAGTGAGGTATAGTTGTAAGTTACATGAATTTTGAGTTATCGTTTTTCTTATATTTACCTAAATGTTTATGCAATTTATTAATGTGTTTTACTTCTTAACGGGGTTTAATTCTGGTGATGTCATCAAGTCTGTTGACCGCGAAGTAATTTGGAAACTACTCGAGTACTACGGCGTACCCCAAATATTCATCAACCTTATTCAACAACTGTACGACAACAGCACATGTCAAGTGATCCACAATGGGAAACTCAGCGAGGCGTTTGGAGTAAACACAGGAGTTAGACAAGGGTGCTAATTATCACCAATCATATGCCTAATTGTGGTGGACTGGATTATGCGTCAGACAGTGGGAAACGAGAAGACAGCGATATACTGGACCGACGTGAAAAACCTAGAAGAACTGGATTTTGCGGATGATTTATACTTGCTGTCACATAAGATAGAAGACTTGCAAGCGAAAACCGACAAACTGGTCGAAGAAGCAGCCAGAGAAGACAGGACTGCAGGTGAACATAGACAAGACGGAGGTTATGAAAATAACCAACCAACAACAACAACAGTAGCAGCAACATCCAGCGCCAATCACCATCAACGGGAGGGATCTGAAAGAGGTTACTTCATTCACTTATCTAGGGAGCATTGTCTCAACTACAGGTTGAGGAACAGACGAGGATGTCAAATCGAGAATCGGGAAGGCGAGAAACACATTCATCAACCTGAAACCAATCTGGAAATCTTCCGCTGTCACTCAGCC